TTTTATACATACTTGTACAAATCTAACTTAATTTAAGTCTAATCAAACAACATTATAATGTGATTTTCTATTTGTGAAATATGTTAATGTAATTCCCCACTACTAAAAAATTTCTGGATAAGCCACTTACTTTAAAAACCTTCACCAATTAAGTTTGCATAAGCTATTTGTTTGCCTTCAAAATTAAATGAAGGTTTGAAGTTTGTTCTTGCGGCCATACCACAGTGTGTGCAGGGCCAGTCCTGAGGGGGCAACAAGGGCGATCATCCCAGGTCCTCTGAACAAATAGAGAAAAAAATAGGCATAATTGTTTTCTGCATATATAGTGTGAGCAGATATCCTTTTTTATTTTTAAGTTCAATTAATTAGGTCTAATGTTTATTTCTTGTATACAATTTGAAAAAATAGAACATATATAAGTAAAGACCTTCAAACGTAGCCAAGTTTAAAAAAGAATACACATTAATTTTAAGTAGGATCAATTGTAGTTTTTAAAGCAACACAATAGTTGCTGAATCAATAAAAGTCATGTCTTCTCAGTCTTCACATCTCTTTAGTCTTCACATCTCTTCAGTCTTTACATTCCTTTAGCTTTTAATGTTTTTTATTCCTTTTAAGTGATTATTATTATTGATAATTTTGCTTCACATTATTACATCACGTTGTTTTTTAACGTTTTAAGTAATATTTTTTTCTTTTTATGTATTATTTGTGTTGTTATTTTTGCTCAAATATGTAATTTAAATTATAGTAAAATGATTTTTGCCTTTATTTTATGACCTTCATTAAATATGTTTGTTAAAATTTATATTTTAAATATGTATAGTTTACGATTTATCTTGAGTGTAAGCCCAATATAGTATATCGCCCCATAAACCCAGAAATGGACAGGACTGACCCTTTACGTATATTCTTTTATTTTCTGAATACTCATTACCGTATTAAACATATATACATATTACAATATTTTTCACCCCATGTATATATCTAAGTAAACATACATGAAAAATAATGTGATCTTATTTTGTTTGCTTATTTTCGATGCAACTTATATATTCTTTTCAACTTTTATGTTTTAATATATTGAAAAGGTGAAAATCTATATAAAATAATGACCAGCTTTAATTTAAAAACGCACACCAAGTTTACATAAAATAATGACCAACTTTTATGCACTCATAAGCTATTTGTTTTTGCCTTGGAAGTTGGAATCGAAGGTTCGAACCGCTTTTTTGGAATACTTTTTTAGGGAAAAGTAATATACTCTAAATTTTAAAGTCGTGCTACATAAATAGTGTTTCTTTTTCATTTTAGTTCTCATACTATTATGATATTAACATTTTTGGTTCTCGGCTTTCAACTTTTCCACTTCTAATCCTTCAACTATTGTGTGAAAGAAACTAGTAGAGGACTAAAAATGGAATATTTGAAAGTGAAGCACCAAGAGTGTCACTGACTTTATTAAACAATTTTCTAATATAAAACATTATGGTGCCGTTTGGTAACACCCCTTTTCGGCTTATCAGGCTTATCAGCCAACTTTTCCACCAAACACGTAATTTTTGCTTTATCGTGCTGAATTGTGTAATAAGCAGAAAAAGTAAGGTTGAAGTTACTTTTCTGGCTGTATTGGCTGAAGTTACTGTAGATGACCATTTTAGCTATTTTTACATATAATTTTTTCTTTATTTTATTAATAAAATATATTTTAAAAATATTTTTTTCTTAAATCACCAGAATCAGCCAATGCAGCCACTTCAGCCAGAACTTCAGAAATTTCAGCAGAATCAGCCAAACCAGCCGATTTTCCTTCTACCAAACGGGCTCTATATCAATTTAAAAGTGTAACTGACTTTATATCAATTTTCTAATATAAAACATTAATTTGTACCAGGTTAAAATTTAAAATATGACTTTTTAAACTCTGTAGTTTTTCCTAATAGTCATTGTTAATAGTTAACGTCGTGTAATGGCAAATATCAATTCAAAAGTGTTGCAATTATATTTATAGATCGGTGCAATATTAATTTTTTCAAAAAAAAAAAGCAAGAATGTTAACTGCACTCTCACAAATGATAAGTACGTGGTAAATGTATTTAAATTATTTATTCAACGCCATAAATTTACATTTATGAAAGAGAATCATGTAATCATGGTGTTAACATAATTTTTTATATAAAGTTCAGGATATTTATATTACATATGTAAGTTTTTCCTCATTCAAAGTTTAGAGTATGTAATATTCAAAGTTTATATTACATATGTAAGTTTGAAGTGTTTACCTCGCACGCCTTCAAAGTTTAGAAAGTAGAGTATTTTGATTATTTTCCTCATTCTTTTATTTTCTCACTATGCATTACCGTATTACCTTTATACATATTACAATCTTTTTCACCCCATACTATACATCGAATTGAAGTAAATATAAATATTTAATAAAGTGATCTTCCTTTGTTTTCTTATTTACTTGAGAACTTAAATATTCTTTTTAAAGTTTTTAAATATATTAAAGTTTTAATGCTGTTATTAAATATTTGAACGAAACTTGAAGAGGTCCTATAAATTCAGATAGAGCTGAGGGAACTAATAACAAAGGCTCATTTTGTGTGTTATTGTTTTTTCTATCGCTAATTATTATATCCCAAGCCAATTTAGTTGTTCCCAATTCAATTCTTTTTTCTAATCAACCAAGGCCGGCCATCATCAAGATGATACTAGTTAGAGATGGTGATGATATATTATATACTCACCATGGAGATTTTTCAAACGTTAAGGTATTTTAATTACACTATTATAATTAATACATCCCATCCCAGTAATTTTGTTAATATCTAACTCATATTTCTAGAAAATGTCAGTCCCGTAAATAGCGAATTCAGAGATTTTTTCGAGAGGGCACATAATTAGTAGGCAAAGACACGGGCTGATTTATGCCAGATTAAATCACCCGGTTCCAATATTAAAATGGGAAGACCTTAATAATGTCTATTAACCGGTTCAATTTCTAGTTTGGCTAACCTACGGAGTATTACCCATATCGCGCACTATAGTACTCCCTAGGAGTGTTAATCGAACGAGTTGAGCTTGAGTTCGGCTTAGATCCCGAGTCAGACTTGATAAAGAATTGAAAGTCCAAGTTTGAGTTCGAGTCAACAAAATTATGACTTAGTTCGACTTATGTTCGAGTTGTATTCGAATGTTACCCAACCTATTCTGAAAAATGATATATTTTTAAAAGAGTTTGATTTGTAATATGTTTAAACATATATGTGCAATCATCAATAATTTCTTAACATAAAAATATTGTTTTAAAATTATCCGCCCAGTTGTCTCTTATATCTTAAGACTCTCTTTGATGTCTATGATTTATCTAAACCTAGGATGAACTAAGTTAAGTTTGTCCTACTTAAATCTGCTTGAACGATCCTGAGAATATATGCCTATAATCTGCATAACACTTTTAGAACATTGTTAAATGTTAAGCAATATGTGAATCTCTAGCATAATTTTAGTACTCCGTAGAAGATAAGCATAACTTTTATGCACGGATTCACCCTATGGATATATGATCGATGTAATGTCACATATGTATGAATCTAAAACAATCAACACTAACTCATAATTGAGAACCTTGTGAGCTTTTCAAATCGAGTTTGCATATAGTTTGAGCTTGACTTGCTTTGCTTTGAGTCAAATCTGAGTCGAGTTTGAATCGAATTGAGCTATGATCGAGTGAGAACCAAGTCGATCTCGAGTCGCTTGTATGTCGGCTTGCTTGATTAGCACCCTTGGTACTCCCTAATGATTTTAGGCGCACTAACTATGTAATACTATCCTGGCCGGGTGGGTTCGATTAGTTATGCTATTTATGATTTTAATTACTATTATTATTCTTAAGTACTCTTATTATCTATATAGCTAGTTTACTTTTACATAGATTAATTACTTTGTGCGGGTGTGGGTGTGTCAATGTGTATGTATGCTCACCATACTCATAATTATGATTTTTATGTACCCAAATCAATACAAATTTTACAAATTCACAAATTTTACAAATTCTTTTTCAAAATGTATGTACCATACTTTCACACTTTGTCAAAGTGTGAAATTGGCACATTAACTGGTAAAGAATAAGCTTCAAAATGTATGAAGTTTACATGGTATTCTGCAACCAAATTAGTGCATCTACCACTACAAAAAAACAACGATTTTGGCACGAATTTGGCACAGAGCTTTGGCACGGATTTACCGAAATTCGTAGGGTATTTGGCACAAATTTGGCACGGATGCGTTAAATCCGTGCCAAATTTCGTGCCAAAATCGTTTTGTCACCAGCTATTTGGCACGGCGCTGTGCCAAAAATAAGTTACAGTCCGTGCCAAACTTGCCCAATCCGTGCCAAGTCCGTGCCTATTTTGATGTTTTTTTGCAGTGTACATCGTAGGAAAAAGTAATATTACTCCATTTACACTTTTCATACGGAGTATATTCCATTTTTGCAACAGGGAAAACAAAAACGTTATTTTGTAATAGGAAAAGGTGGAGGTTTGATTTGTGTGTGCTATAAACAGGAGTTGTTTTGTGGTAAAAAGAGTGATATGCGGTTTTTGTGTGAAAAGAAATGTTAAGATTTGGGATAACTTGGGGTTCATTCATTTTTTCTATCGTTCATTATTATTATTTTTATAATCGTGTCATCATTTTTCATTAGGGGGGCCACACCATAGATCGATTTGACTCTGATACCATGTTAAAATATGATGTTTCATCCTAAAATGTCAACCTGATAAGAGGAGTAACTTGTATCTTAATATAACACTTAATGTCTTCACAAGTATCCGGTGTGGGAATTCTAACAAGAAACAAAGAAAAATAGTAGAAATGAAAATGAAAATGGTTTTTAGTATATGCGGACAACTTCTCTGCGTCAATTTTGATTTAAGAATTACAAAGGGGGTATATGAAATTTGAGAGTAATTAAAATGGACTTTCTTATGAGGCTATTATTCATTTATTTCCTCATATAATAAAGTAATTAATATAATTTCATAGATAATGAAGCAAATGAGGAATCTATTCATTTTTAATAACGTTGCAGGCAAGAGAGATCTTGATGTCTTTTATGAATGATGATCCATATTTGAAATCCATAGCTGCTACATATCGTTCTATCTCGAGTGGGGATTTGATTCTTTCTCGTGATTCTGATTTTCTCGTGACGAGAGAAACTAAATGTGTCTATATTGCCCAAAAGGAATATGCAACTGTGGATCCTTCCCTTGTCGATGTAAGTTACTCCATCGGTTCCCCTATAATTGTCCCATTTTTTCATTTTTCAATGTCCCCTATTATTGTCTCATTCCATATTTGGTAACATTTGTGTGGCTCTAATTCATTATTACTTTATTTTAAGTGGAACATATGTAGTACTAGAAGTCTGTTGTCATAAGATGAAAATGAAAGAGTCGAGAAAAAATTAAATGAAAAGAGCTAATTAATCGAGAGTATTTTCGAAAGAAAATTAGGTCATACCTGGGAATGTCACATAACTTAAGGCATGGATGAATTTAACATTCCCCTCCATATTACATCCCTAGAAATGTAACTTTTCCGATTTTTTCTCAACCTCACGAATCAAACATGGACATCTATCTAACATTCTTTGCATCACATTTCGGCCTTATTGTGAGATTACCTCAAACCAAACAGGCCTTAAGTGTTTATAGTCTCATCTCTCAGGCACTTAAGTTTGGAGGAATAAGTCGTCCTTACTTTCGAGCTTTTGTACTATTTATTTAAAGGTTTTTAAAATCTTCTAGTTGTATGTTTGGCATAACGATTTTTGAAAGCTTCATTCAAAATAAAAGATCTTTTTTAGAAGGTACATAAAATATTGAGTAGCATTTGAGAGAATCCGTTTAGCTTTTAGTATTAATTATTCACAACAACTTGTTATATATCCAACAAAAACTGAATCAAATAGTATGTGTTTTTACAAATTAAACAACTAACAGTTACAAAATACGAAGTACTACGTACGTAGTAGCTCACAAAGTATATTTTCAAGTACTTTACGGTTTTATGATAATAAAAAAACTACTTTTACGGTTTTACCAAACATACCTCAATTATGGGATTAAATAATCAGCGATCGATATATGTTCACATAGAGCTAAATGATTTTAGTCTCATACGTGTGACTAAATAATCAGCCTGTCCGATATGATCTTCTAGTGGTATGAGGATTAGGGTTGGATTCGGGCCGGGTCGGGTCCGCGCCGGGGCGGGCCTTCGGTTCTGAATAGTTGGGCCCGGGACCGGCCCGGGTAGCTACCGGGCCGGGCCTGGCCTCGGGTTTGGTTAATTTTTTTTTTTTTGCTTTCCTAAGTATCCCTGACCCCCCCCCCCCCCCTCACCCCCAAACCCCCCAAACCCCTCCTAAACATCAAGCCCAACCCGGGTGGAACCCAAAAAATGAAGAAAAAAAATCAATTTGGCCCGAACCGGGCCCGGGCCCGGCCAGGCCGGGTCTCATTTTGAAGGAACCGTGCCCGGAACCGTCTCCCCCTCGGGCCGGGTCAAAGCCCGGTACCCGGACCGGTGAATCGGGCTGGTCCTGGGCCCGCACAGTAGCGGGCCGGGCCGGTTCACGGGCCCACACAGTAGCGGGCTGGGCCGGTTCACGGGCCGGGTGCCCCGACCGAGTCCACCACTAATGAGGATTCATAGTTTTGACTACTAAGAACGTTATTTCCACACAAATGCATTTGCACAAGATTTTCGCATGGTTGCAAAACTTGCAAATAGCTAATCGATGAAGATGTGAATGAATGAATAAATAAATAAATAAATAAATAAATAAATAAATAAATAAATAAATAAATAAATAAATAAATAAATAAATAAATAAATAAATAAATAAATAAATAAATAAATAAATAAATAAATAAATAAATAAATAAATAAATAAATAAATAAATAAATAAATAAATAAATAAATAAATAAATAAATAAATAAATAAATAAATAAATAAATAAATAAATAAATAAATAAATAAATAAATAAATAAATAAATAAATAAATAAATAAATAAATAAATAAATAACATACGAAGTACTATTTTAATGTAAGATGAAGAATGAATATATAAAGACAAAATTTTATCTTAGGTACGTAGACAAAATTATGAGGCCGTTTGGCAACACTGTTTTTCGGCTTATCAGCCAACTTTTTCACCAAACACGCAACTTTTGTTTTCGCGCGCTGAATTGTGTAATAAGCCGAAAAAGTAAGGTTGAAGTTACTTTTCTGGCTGTATTGGTTGAAATTACTGTAGATGAACATTTTAGCTATTTTTACATATAATTTTGTCTTTATTTTATTAATAAAATATATTTTAAAAAAAAAATCTTAAATCAGCCAATGCAGCCACTTTAGCCAGAATTTCATAAATTTAAGCAGAATCAGCCAAATCAATTTTGGTACTACCAAACGAGCTCATATATAAACTAACACTCGGCATATCTAAACCTCTTATGGAATTCTAAAACAATGACATCGCTGCTTCAAGTATCGTATATAGACTATAGTGCATGGTTTTATTCGATCTTTAATTATTCATTTGCTTCTAAAGATATAATTAGTGTTACACCAAAAAAAAATAATTAGTGTCTAATATAACAGAGAGAAAATTGTACACACTTTTTTTTGTACAGATAGTACACACGTGTATGACTACATACGTCTTGAACGAACAATGTTTTATCTATGAATAGTTTGTTCAGAGACAAATTAAAACATGTTTACATACGTTTGTGAACATTTTTATCTTTGAATGGACTATTTGCTGGAAAAAAAATAGCTTGTTCACATAAATGTGTACTTGTGGGTACAAAAAAAATGCAAGTACAAGAAACAGGTTAGAAGATAATATGTAGTTTCCACCTATTGATGACATGTGAAAATTAAATGGCAGGTGATTGGCACTGATGGGCAAGGAGGCTGTGTGGGTGTGGTCATACGAAACCCTAAAAGTGGATTGTAAGTAATGTAACCATTTTTTAAATAATTAAAAATCAGTCTAGCTAGCTAATCATGTCTAATTTGATCTATAATATTGGGTGTAGGATCTGTGTTGCCCATATGGATCTTCCAGAAGTTATTGATAATGGCCTTACTCAGATGTTATCATCCGCTATTGGTCAAGAGATTGATGAAATTTTGGATGTATGTATATTATATATACACATAACCCATTACATACATACATTATGGCCTTCATTATATTGAAGTACAATACTCTGTGTGCACACGCGTGATCTAATTTGCTATCACAATAATTATTTCTTATACTACTCTGTAGTACTGTATATAATAAGAAATCAAATATTAACAAAAGTTTCTAATGAATCATGGAAACAATCGGGAAAGAGTGTGTCTCGTTTAAGAAAATGAATACGGAAATTGTTTAGAAATTAAACTCTTTAAACACGTGTTTTTCTATTCAAATGTGTTTTTTTTTTCTCGTTTTCCATTTCCCCATTTTTACATGCAACACAAAAAGTTTCTAAATAAATTATAATGACTTTTCAAATTAAGGTGGTATGTATGATATTATGTGCAGGTACATTTAATTAATGGTCAAAATACAGTGCCACGTGAAGCCAATAATACTGGTCGTATCGAAGGAATTTCAATTGAGCTTTGTGAAAGGATAATTCAATTTCTTTGTAAGAGCAATAAAAGATTCAGTATTAAAACGTTGCACATTCTTGATCGCAATACCAGATATGATGAAAAAGGAAATGCATATCCTAGGTTCACTGGTTTCCTGGTAATCAAAATTATTACTTATGTTCGTATTTCACTGTTAGGGATGTTTTAATTATTGGACTATAATTTTATGGTCTAGTATGATAGATGTCTAGACAAGAGATATGTTTTATGTATAATTTACAACTTTCAAAATATGATCGGACTTGATGTGTTTAAGTTTGATCTCATCTCATCTCGGACTGAAACCAGCCTATTAAAAAACACTCTAACTCTTAACATATATGTGTACATACATGACTGATATGTATATATGCATATTATATCTGCATATTATTGATAATAGGTGGAAACTGCCACTGGATCAATATTTCCCGCAACCTTTGATATAACAACATATCCAGATGCAACCGTTAGGAAAGCTCGACTAGACGCCGCCCTGTATGGGGAAGATATGAGATTGCTAGAGACGTATGACACTATATCCGATAAATACGTCATTGCTCCATGTTCTTGGTAAGATCAAAAGCTATACATTTTCTACCAAGTTTATTTAATGTACCAAGCATGCATGAGAAATTTTAGCTTCATAGATTTGTGCCAAGCTAAGAGCTGTATATAAAACTGCATGTTTTGGTTGATTATATATATAGTTGTACAAATTCTGTCGATATGGTAAGATACAATTCTGAAGTCTAACGCGCCAGATCTATTCCCATTTCGCTAACTCGATCACAATCTCTTTTAGTCCAAATTCTAAGTGACTACCGGCCGGTAGGATTGACCCCTTTTTACCCGCACGGGTACCTCAGTTGGTTGTGTGGTGGGAAATTTGGAACAATGACCAAGATTCAAAACCAGGAGCGACCGTGTGAAGGTTACAGCTCCTACGTGCTGGGCTGGACCTCTGTTGCGCACGGTATAAGACCTACCATCATTGGGCCGATGAGTCACCATGACTTACTCTTCAATTCCACCATTCTATCGGGTCGCAGTGTGGGGCGCCTGCAGTGGAGGAGCTAGGGAGGGGCATGAGGGGGCAAGCGCCCCCGCTTCGGGCAAGTTTTTTTAGTACTACTACTTAGAATATAATTAATGCCTCTCCTTTTTTCAAAAATAAATACCAATTAAGGATAATTTTAGATTAAGTGTTAAAATAAAAGGCAAAGTCTTTCAGAATACATGTGTGTCTCTAGTAATACAAGTATTGCCTGCAGCATACCACACTCATTTGAATGCAAGTGTGGATTATTTTAGACATTTAATGACACACATGTTGGCTTTTCGTGGTTATAGTGAGCTAGAAAGTGTTGAGTTTGACGAATACGTTGTCACATTTCTTGTAACAAAAAAGATCAAAACATTCTCGAGATTATGTTGGATTCCCTCCTTAGTCGAGAAATTCATGACAATTTTAGAATTTTTAGAGATCGATTTCCAAGAGATTCTCTATATGTGTGTGTGGAGAAGTATTGAATGTTCTAGAATAATAATGTGGAGTTTTTCGGAGAAGTGTTGAACTCGTTAAAAGCATGTGGAAGTGTGTAGAAGCCTCTAGAACATTTTGAAGAATTGTGGGATTTTCTAAATCCTTCCAGAAGATAAGAGAAGTTTGTGGATACTTTTTGGAAAAATCTAGATGTGTGATGGTGTATAAAAAATTCTAGAGAAACTTTGATGAGATTAGTATAAAGAAGCTTCCCATTTATATGAGAACTTTGATGAGAGCTCTTGAGTGAGTGAAAGAGGAGAGTGAGAGCTTTCTTGTGAGAGAAGAAGGCTCAAAAATATCGTTTGATGAAGTGTATGTGATCAAGTGAGGTAGAGTACGTGAAGTAGACTCATATACAAAAAGTGAGTGAAGATTTTACAAAGTGATATTGTCAGATTGATCCTTTGTATTATGACTGTGTGGATACATAAGTGTACAAGAGTCTATGAGATCGTGATCCTAGAAAAAGCTGGGGTTGTGTTTTTCCAACATAAATATACAACATTTTGAACAAATTAAAACTCGTATGATTGATCGACCGAGATTATAGATATGAGTCTAGCGGTATGTAATGAACTATTTTGTGCTAATGTATTACGTTTTTATTGTTTTTATTAAATTTTGAGTGAATACACAACAGTAATAGCCTTTAGTACGCCCCTCCTTGATCTAAGGATTGACACCTTTTCCTGCACGCCTGTTTAGGGACATGGCTTTTGTGAAAAGTCGTGAAGCACGGTATAAACTACCCGATAAAGAAATCAGTAAGGGATACTTCACTATTCAAAGAAATGATGAGAGCCTCTATCCTATATATGCGCAGAGGATAAGAAGGTAATTTCATGCATGTTTAACTTTTAAGCAATGATATGTGACAGTTTCTAATTCCAAAAAAAATGCATGTCTATGTTTTGAGTATTGTTATGCGAGAATTATACCAAGGTTCATGCATACATAATCTACCTAGAAATTTTTCTTATGAAGTTCAAATGGATGATTAATAAGGTTTTGTTTGGAAATAAAAGCTAATAACCTAGTTGGTAACTAATAAATTAAAATTGTGTATTAACACATGGCTAATATATACGACAGAGTAGCTTATTAACGGTATATTACTATACGTGAATATTTGGTAGGCATAAGACTCCACTTCTAACTTTTGTACTATTTAAAAATCTCTAAAAGCTTTTAATTGTATATTTGGCACGCCAAATTTTAAGAGTATTTTCAAAATATATTAAAAGATATGTTTTGAAAAGTTACACTGAGTAACATCTGTAAAAAGTCTGTAGCTTTTATCATTAATTAGTCACAACAGATTTTTATCAAAGAGATACTACCTTTTCTTTTAAAATCTTTTCAGTCACTAAAAGTTAACAATTATTAACAAGTTCATAAAAACATATTTTCACCTTCTTCTATATACTCCCTTTGTCCCGCAAAATAGTTTCTGGTTTCCTTTTTGGGTCGTCCCAAAAAATAGTTCCAATTTTCCCTTTGGAAAGTTTTGTGTGGCTCACATTCATTTACCTTTTTCTTACACAACCACAACCATACATTTCTACTTTATTCTCACTTTCTTAAAATCCGATTCAAGTCAATGAGGGAACTATTTTATATGACAGAGGGAGTAACTGATAACTTATCTATTTGCTTTATTATCATTTAGACAGTACTATACCTAACATTAAATCTTTATCCTTCCTCTCAGCGAATGTGCTTATTTTATTGAACACCCGAATTGGAAAGAAACATTTCCCGCAGGACAACCACGTATATTTACGAGAACCATTGACGGAAATTGGACAAGATCATACGTTGAACATCCTCAAGTATATAAGAGAACCGCTAATGGGGGTTGAATACAAGACTCCATTTCATTTTGTGTTATATTTAGTATGTTGTATTGTTGTGTCAAGTCACACGTGCTCATTTATACTTGTTAGTTGGGATTGCTTCAAGAAAAACACGTACCTAGCAAAAGCATATGCTTACAATATATATATATAGGGAAAAGATCAGGTGAGAAGTGCCCCTTAAAATGAGAAGTGAGAAGTAATCTCAGCCCTTGGATTTGCATCTGATTTTACAACGCAATAAACTTATAGGCTAAATATAGGAACTTATAACCAATAAATCATACTAACTTATAAAGCTCTCCATAATAATTACGAAAATGCCACCGCGTCAAAAAAAAATCCAGATTTCTGTAATTATTTTTTGCGGTGGCATTTTCGTAATTATTTTTGAGGGGTCTATAAGTTATGATTTATCGGTTAAAAGTTCCTATATGTAGTCTATAAGAAAATGCCAAGGGCTGAGATTACTTCTAGACCAAATATATGAACTTATAACCGATAAATCATAACTTATAGACCCCTCGAAAATAATTACGAAAATGCCGCCGCAAAAAAATAATTACGAAAATGCCGCCGCAAAAAAATAATTACGGAAATCTGGAAAAAATTGACGCGGTGGCATTTTCGTAATTCTTATGGAGAGCTTTATAAGTTATGATTTATTGGTTATAAGTTCCTATATTTAGCCTATAAGTTTACTGTAAGATGAGATGCAAATCCAAGGGCTGAGATTACTTCACACTTCTCATTTTAAGGGACACTTCTCACCTGATCTTTTTCCTATATATATATATATATATATATATATATATATATATATATATACATATATACACACACATATATATATATACATATATATATATATAATTTGTAAGGATATAAACTAGTCCTCCCATGCTAACCTACAAACTGTTCCAAATTATGCAACTTCACATTATTTGTACTGCATATATAGTTCAAAGTGTTGCATATTATTTGTATTGCATATTGAAGTTCTAAGTATTGCATATTATTTCTATTGCATATTGAAGTTCACAGTGCGCATCTTTACATTATTTGTACTGCATATTGAAGTTCAAAGTGTTGCATATTAATTAGTTTGTAGGTTAGTATTTTAAACATGGTTTGTATTTGATCTCTTGTCTCTCTCTCTCTCTCTCTCTCTCTCTCTCTCTCTCTCTCTCTCTCTCTCTCTCTCTCTCTCTCTCTCTCTCTCTCTCTCTCTCTATATATATATATATATATATATATATATATATATATATATATTTTATTTATATATATATATACACACACACACACACATATACACAAATGTTCATGTCCGAAATTCCAGACAGGAACCACCATCCGGACGGCGGCGTTTGGCCGCCTTCCCGGTGGCATTTTTTGATGACATTTTTATGGCATGTTCTCCATCAAGTCTAGTTTATCCAAAAAAAAATCAGCCAAAAACTCAATCGGGAAGGTCGTCAAATGATTTTTGCAAGATAACTGATACGGAAAATACATATTCCGGACCAGTTAACTTGCAAAAATCATTTGACGACCTTCCCGATTGAGTTTTTGGCTGAAATGTTTTGTGGATAAACTAGACTTGATGGAGAACATGTCATAAAAATTTCATTGAAAAATTCCACCCAGAAGGCGGCCAAACGCCGCCGTCCGGACGGCGGTTCTGGTCAAGAATTCCTGACCGGAAGAGTACTATATATATAGAGAGAGGAATGTTCATGTTAGGCCGGCCTGACGGGCTGCTCCGTCCGGCCGAGCCCGTTTGGGCACTTTCCCGGTGGAATTTTTTGATGAAATTTTTTGAGCATGTTCCTCATCAAGTCTAGTTTGTCCATACCAAATTTCAGCTCAAAATTCGATCGGGAAGGCATTCAAATCATTTTTTGAAGTTGACTGCAGTTTTATATGTATATTTCGACGCAGTCAACTTCAAAAAATGATTTGAATGCCTTCCCGATCGAATTTTGAGCTGAACTTTGGTATGGACAAACTAGACTTGATGGGGAACATGCTCAAAAAATTTCATCAAAACATTCCACCGGGAAGGTGCCCAAATGGGCTCGGCCGGACGGAGCATCCCGTCAGACCGGCCTGATGAGAAGAGCACTATATATATATATATATATAT